AGGTGAGACTGCACAGCGCTCTGTCCCTGTGCATAGTGCTCACCGCGCAGCACGTGAGACTGCACAGCGCTCTCTACCTGTGCATAGTGCTCACCGCGCAGCAGGTCAGACTGCACAGCGCTCTGTCCCTGTGCATAGTGCTCATTGTGCAGCACGTAAGACTGCACAGCGCTCTGTCCAAGTGCACTCACCGCACCTCCAAGATTTCTGGACTGATCTGTGCTATGATTTATTTCATCCCTGTATCTATAAGTGGAATAATGAAGTCCTAATCATATTGATCCACAACAAGTGAGTAATTCACGTTAATGAAAAGCACACTACAAATTTCTCATTGTCTCTCTTGACCCCTCCCTGCAGGTTGTGAAGATTCTCAACCTATATACTCCTTTGAATGAGTTTGAAGAACGAGTCACAGTATCCTTCATTCGGGACATTCAGGTGAGATTATCTTTGAATGAAAGCTGGAAATATACATTTTGACTTTTCATACATTTCGGCTCTTTAAAAGATTTCATTTTATGCAAAAATATATCACTTGTGCCACTTTCCTCCCCTCCTCTTACTCTTCCTCCCAACCTGGGTCATTAGTTCTCCTCCTTCACACCTGTGCCACATTCCCCTGTTCTCTCCCTCATTTCTCCACACCCCTGAAGAGGCTCCACGTCTGAAACGTGTTTTCTTTCTTCCCACTGTTCTGCATGAGGATAGCCTCTGCTCTTTGCTTTGCTGCTCGCCCACATTGACACACCTACCTACATAACTGGTTCATTGACTCGCCGGCCACTTTACAAACTGAACAAGCAAAATTTCAGGCTATTCTCATCTTGTGGCATAACAGTGAATTGCGTGAATTCTCAAATGTGCAGCTTTATCGTCGACAGCTGTGCCTGTCCTCTGTTTGGTACTAAACCTGCTGCCAGCGCTGCAGGTCTCATAGGAGCAAATATGGTGCTCACCTTCACCTGGAGCTTGATACCCTAGCTCATAAAAAGGGTTCCTAATCATTCCTGCAGAGATGTCAAATGAGTTTTTGGTCCATTTAAAACGTAGAAAGCAAACGACCATGATGGAAAATGCGGTCATATGACTCAAGCCGTGAGTGGGTTGCTGCCATGATAAATGCTTTCTGTTCTCTTCATAGGGCCTGCTCCGTGACCGCAACGATCCTCCTCATCTTCTGGTGGACACCAAACACACCTTCCCAGTTCTATTCCCCTATACCCCTTCCGCCCTCAGCCTGGAGACCCTACATATCCCCGCCAACCTTGGCCTGGATTTCCTCACCCGGGTCTGAGAACTCAGGGGTGTCGTCCTGACTGGCCAGGCGGAGCAGGAGACCCTGTCTGGGATGAGGCTTTGGGGCTCTCTCCCGGAAGTGCAGTGTCAAGCTCTCCATCAACCTCCTGGGTCCAACACATCCTGACAGAGGTTCCCAGCTGCAGGCACTGCACCTCTCCCCCTTCAGCCTTGCCCCGCTGTCATGTGTAGTTGGCAAAGAGACAGAAAAACTGCACAGCTGTAAGAGAAAAAGTGCTCCCCAGTCACGCGTTTGCAGTGATATCACAGAAACACCAAAAAAATATTCATTTCATTCCTTGTCTCTTAATACCTAAAACTTCAAAAACAAAATGACTTGAATGGTTTTGAAACAACATGACTTTCCTGCATTTACACATAATGGCAGTAGTATCCTATCGCTGCAGGCATTTGTGTTGGCAGTTGAGGTGGAGCACTTTAGTTCATTTCTTGTCAGGTAGTTCTCACTGATTGCATATCATTTATCTGCCACTAACAAAAATGGTTTGACAGTTG